ATCCCTCCAACTATGAAGGATGTCCAACCTCATGAGTATGTTGACAGCCAGGTGCAGATAGACCACTGAGTCTGACCATGGACAAACAGACAGAGAACAATTTATATGTATATATAAAGAGGAAGAGAAACATATCCCTTAGTAATTTTTTTTAACTTGAGAGTTTCTTCCACAGGTGATTTTCCATCCTCTCATTTTCCACAATTAACATCCTATGAAGGAAAACATCCCTTCTCTTTCTCGATACTCCACCTTGAAGACTATTTCTCAAATGTGTGGATGAAGGCACCATCCATACCAGCCTTCATATCCACTGTCACATGGAGTGGCAAACTTCTGGGGCTTTGGTTGCTCATCCTCTCTCTCAAAACAGGATGCTCATTCCCTCTGTAAGTCTCCTTTTGAAAGCTGATGAGATATTAAGGAGACATATCAATGGAATTTGCTTTATACTTGCCCCACCCAAGATATGCAGAAACAATAGGCATATCTCATTTTATTGTACTTCACTTTATTGTACTTCACAGATATTGCATAATTTTTTATAAATTTAAGTTTTGTGTCAACCCTGCCTTGAGCAAGTCCGTTGATACCATTTTCCAACAGCATTTGCTCACTTAGTATCTCTGTGTTACATTTTGGTGATTATCACAATATTTCAAACTTTCTCATTATTATTATAATTGTTACGGTGATCCATGATTAGTGTTTTTTATGTTACTATTATAATCATTTTGGGACAACATGAATCATACCCATATAAGACAGAGAACTTAATCAATAAACATTGTGTGTGTTCTGACTCCTATACCGACCGGGCATTCCCCCATCTCTCTTCCTCTCCTTGGGCCTCTCTATTCCCTGAAATGCAACAATAATGGAATAAGGCCAATTAATAATCCTATAATGGCCTCTAACTGTTCAAGTCTCTCACTTTGAATCAAAAGCTAGAAATGATTAAACTGAGTGAGGAAGTCATGTCAAAAGCCGAGACAGGCCAAATGCTAGGTCTCTTGCATCAAACGGCTAGCCAAGTTGTGGAGGAAGTAACTGTAGATGTGGTAAAAATAGCAAGAAAACTAGAATTAGAATTGGAACCTGAAGATGTGAGTAAATTGCTGCAATCTCATAAAACTTTAACAAATGAAGAGTTACTTCTGATAGATGAGAAAAGAAAGTGGTTTCTTGAGATGGAACCTATTCCTGGTGAAGATGCTATGAAGATTGTTGAAATGGCAACAAAGGATTTAGAATATTACATAAACTTAGTTGATAAAATAGTGGTGGAATTTGAGAGTATTGACTCCAATTTTGAAAGAAGTGTTGGTAAAATGTTATCAAGCAGCGTTTCATGCTATAGAGAAATCACTCATGAAAAGAAGAGTCAATCAATGCAGCAAACTTCATTCTTGTCTTATTTTAAGAAATCGCCACAGCCACCCCAACTTTTAGCAACCACCATCCTGATCAGTCAGCAGCCATCAACATCAAGGCAGGACTGTCCACCAACAAAAAGATTACAACTCCCTGAAATTTAGATAATGGTTGGCAAAAAAGTATTTTTTAACTAAGATGTGTACAATTTTTTAGACATAATGCTATTGTACATGTAATATACTACAGTACTATATAAACATAACTTTTATATGCACTGGGAAACCAAAATATTTGTGTGACTCACTTTACTGTGATATTTGCTTTATTACAGTGGTATGGAACCAAACTCATAATATCTCCTAGGTATGCCTGTACTCTGGATATGAATCTGCTACATACTGAGAAGTCTTCCACTTTGGGTGTTGTCTGTGACAAACACAACTAAAAAAGGCTATTGCTGGGATAGGACTTCCAGAATAGCTGAGCAAGGAGCTTGGTAAATCCTTTTCCCAAAAAGCAATGATAAAACTGGACAAAATTGTCGGGAGCTGAAAATTAACCAAAAGCAAAAAAAAAAAAAACTGATTAGCAGTTATTCAAGAAAAACTTTTGAATCTTAGTGAGAACAGGGAAAGTTTACTCTGTTTTTGCCTAAGGCTATTGATGCCCTAGACCCCAGCTTCAAGATACAGGTAGTTCTACCAGTGCAAGGTAGGGCATGAGCATGAGAGGGGCTGACATGATTTGAAGCAAGCATGGGAAAACCCATGCCCGAGGGAATGACAACACAATGAGAATCTTGGTGGCAAATAATCAAAGACAATCAAAATTGAAGCTAGTCTGAGGTTACCATACTAGTTAGGCATAACAGAAGACAGGCTAGAAATGTACAAGTGAGATTCGGGGATCAAGACAGCCAAAGTCAGCCTTCATAAGCTTAGGGATCAGAAAAGCTATATGTGTACACGGGGCTGTGCTTACACTCAGATGAGACTGGAGAAAACTTTAGTGAGCTACTTGGCCCTGGATAAATGTGAAACTTTGCAAGCACAGAAAGTAAAAGCTGTGAAGGACTTGTCAACTGCCTAAACTTTGAATGTCATTTCCCAAACACACAAATCCATTGGCAAAGGATAAGCCTACTGGTTCAAAACATTTAAACACAACCTTTGATGTATCTTTGGTTAATCACTAAGCTATGCTGACCAAAGAGTGACCCCAGAAAGCCGGTCTTAATAATAATACCAATAATTATTTTTAATGAGTGTGTGGGGTGGTTATTTATCAAAAAATAAATAAAAAACATTAATTCAAAAAGACATATGCACCCCCATGTTCATTGTAGCATTATTCGCAATAGCCAAGATATGGAAAAAACCTAAGTGTTAATTGATTGATGAGTAGATAAAGACGTTATATATGTAATGAAATATTTGGCCATAAAAAAGAATGAGATATCACCATTTGTGACAATATGGATGGAATTTGAGGGCATTATGTTAAGAGAAATCTGTATGACAGAGAGACAAATATCGTATAATCACACTTATATGTGAAACCCTCTCAAAAAAACTGAGCTTATATATACAGAGAAAGGATTGGTGGTTGACGGAGGCAGTGGGTGGCGGGTGGGAAAAGTGGGTGAAGGGGGGGTCAAAGGTACAGACTTCAAATTATAAAATAAATGTCATGGGGATATAATGTACAGCATGGTGACTTTAGTTACTAATACTGTATTGCATATTTGAAAGTTGCTAAGAGAGTAAATCTCAGAAGCTCTTATCACAAGAAAAAAGGTTTTTTTGTGACTATATGTTTTGATGGATATTAACTAGACCAATTGTGGTGATCATTCTGCAATATGTACAAATATCAAATCATTAAGTGGTACACCTGTAACTAATATAATTTTATATTTTAATTATACCTCAATAAAAA